CTCGCACGGGCAGCCCGTGCATTGGCCAATTGTTTTACTCTGACTTCTTCCGTCGTGTACAGTCGAACTGTATGGGAAAAACCAGAACAGATTTTTGATTCGGTGTTACTGCTGAGAGGAAGCCATAAGCCAGAACGACATGCTGAACACTAGAAGAGCTACCAGTACGATCATGCGTTTTGCACGGTTCTGTGCAGCAGTAAAGTGCTTCACAGTTTGATAATAAGCACCCATGCTGGGAATGCCCTTACTGGTATTTTCTTCAGGTCCGGGAGAGGGGGGGAGGAAGACACCAGTTCAGCCTATGGTGTGGGGTCTCGTGAAATTTCAGTCTTCCAACATCTCTGATCTCTTCAAAAAAGTTGCACGCATACAACGGGGAGATGACGGGTCCGAACGTAAAAAAGGCAGCCAGTTGTGCGAAGGCCTAGCTCAGGTGTTTTTGGCGTATAGGTGCATCCAGTGGACTCCCGCCAGCTTCAGCAAAACAGAAATAACCTTCCCTATAACTGCTACTGCTGACAGAAATATGGTCACTCAGCGAACAGATGCCTATTCCGCTGACGATCGAAAGAAGGTTCAGGGTTTATTCTGGGAATAACATTAAATAACAGTAAGCGCAATGAAAGTAACCCAAAGTGTATGAGTGACTTTCATTTGTTATTCACGATTTCATCATATATGAATTTCAATCAAGTTCCTGAAGTATAGTGCCACACGGCTTAACAAATCTCGCAGCATGTGCTTTTTTTTTCCCTCATCCCCACCACTTAGCGCCGCCACCAAAGGATGCCTGGCAGCTGTCTTTTCTGTGCAGCAGTTGCATTTTTTTAGGCTCCTCTTAGGCTAGTATTAGTTGGAAAAGTTGATACTAACATAGATGAAATGCCGAGCTGCACAGCCACTGCACATCCTCCAGAAGAACCACCGGGACTGCGCCAGTCCGATTCCAGACACTGTTCGTTGCTTAATCCATTCTTTACAGGGCCAAAGTAGCCTTTTGAACTGGACGTTCCCATACAAAACTCATCCATGTTTGCTTTTCCAATCAAACAACCACCTGGAAGTCGCCAAACTGTTTGTCAGACAGAACACACACAGAACCAGAATCCGGAACCATTTTCTGCCCTCCAGAAACGATCTGAAATTATTTCCTACCTTTCAAAAATAATCTGTCGACGATGGTGGCTGTGTATGGTGCAGTGTAGCTTGATAGATTTCGAGATGCACAAGTTGTCCGGACCTTCTTTGTCCTGCAAATCCCTACTGAAATTTGAGGGTGGTAAAAACATCACGAGTGTGCTGGCACGCGCAATCTGGAGCATCTAAAGTTTTCAGGAGTTCCAGCTCACGTCGTATATATATATATATGTATATGTATATATATATATATATATATATGTATATATACATATATATACATACATATGTACACATGTATACACGTACATATACATACATATGTATATATACATATATATATACACATATACAT